CCTTCTTTTTTTCTCTTCAAAGTCGTGCAGAAGCGTGCTTCAAAGTTGAATATGCTGTGCAAGCGTGCTTCATCGAGCATTGTGTTTGCAAATGGGGGGGGCTGTGCCCCCCCCCCCAATCCCCCCCACTGTTTTTTGGCCGCGCAAGCATGCTCACATGACCCATATGAACCTTGTTGCCTTGTTGAAACCCATCGTACATGCACCCCCCCCAACCCCCCTGCTTTTTTTGGTTTCAAAGCCGTACAAAGCGTGCTTCAAAGTATGTGAATCTTGTTGAAACCCATCGTAAGCTTCTCGGCTCGGATCACATGTTTCCTTTGGTAGGGGGTCAACCGGGTTCGAGGCCAAACTGGTTCTCTCTTCAACAGGACCCCCTCCGGACGCTGTAGTTCTTGCTTTTGCACATGGTGTCTCAATACTGAGCCCGGGAAGCCGCACTTCGGCACCCATTCAAAGATGCAATGACGATGGCGATATGTCAGAGACCCGTGCATTCAGGCTGTCCTCGGTGCACTCACTGGCCTTCATGGATCTGGTATGGTATTTGCATGGCATTCTGCTACTGGATGTTTTTGGAGACGCCTTTGCCACTTGATGAGCTGGTTGCGCAAACGCAGTTAGCCCCACGGTTGGGAGATACACGAGTGACACCTTCAAGCATCCTCACTGCAGGTCCGCTCTTCTTTATTTTACGAGCCGTGCCGGTCCCAAGTCCGGCAACCAGCATTCCTGGATGGGCCACTGAAGACAGGCCAAAAGTATTGCTGGTAGAAGTGAGGGTTGCTGCAGATTCCAGTGCTGCAGCGGGAGCCAATCAGGTTCGTGATCACCTGGGCTTCATGTGTGGGCGAAGATACTGGCCAGGCATTATGTACGCACCAACGCTTCGGGGCGGACTGCAAGGTACAGTGTTTTCACTGCCAGCGAGCTCGCGCCTATGCTCAGTGCTTGGTTTATTTATTTCGTATTTGCTTTTATCATGTTGTATGACTATTCATTGCCACTTACGGTTGCCAGGCTTTGCGGCAATCAGGCATTTTGGGATGAATGTATGGCCACTTGCGGTTGTCAGGCTTTACGGCAACCAGGCCTATGGGCAGGGCGCCGTCTTCGGCCCCTACATTGTGCTGCTACAGTTTGTCTCTATGCAGATGAATTCGTTTTTGCTGAGGCGACGTCTGGGACTGCTCTGATGGCCCACCTCATGGTGCTTTCACTTTCGGTTGCAACAGCTGGAAGGATATGTGACGACATTCGTTGTGCACAGTTCGTTCCTGTTTCCCACCTAGCCCTTCTGGGAGTTCGTGGGTCGGCCCATGGCGAGTTTTCGGGCAATGAGGCAACTTGCGTGATGCGACGAGTCACTGTAGTACCAGATTCTCCATGGAGGTCCTCAACTGTCTGCCCTATGAGTTTGGATCATCGTTGAGTTGACCATATTTGACTCAGGTCTTTGCTTGTACAATGCATGTCAATGTGCTGGAGCAGTACCACACACTCACCCCATACTTGCTTGGTTTTTCTTGGCCACTTGCGATTGCCAGGCTTCACGGCAACCTGGCCTGTGGGCGGGGGTGCCGTATTATCGGCCCTTCTATTCAATATGCTGCTGCTATTTTATTTTCTTATCTGGTGGGTGCATTGGGCTTCCTCAACGTGATGGTCCCCTACGCTGTGTACTTGCCGCTGAGGTGTTCTTGGGATTGCTCTGATGGTTCTCTTTCCTCGTGGGCTTGTTGTGGACTCCGTTTCACTTGAAATTGGTCTGTGGAGTGCATTTCGATGCTCTAGTGGACTCTGAGTCCGTCCCTCCATGGAGGTCCTCAACTGACTGCTTTTCATGAGTGAGATCCATCATTGAGCTGACCATTTTGTAGCTCAGCGCTGAAGTTGTACAGGGCTTGCGCAGCACTTGTCTCGGGGTTGCCGTTTCCGGCCCCCTGCCCAAGGCAGAGTGGCGTGATGTGTTTTTGCTTTCTTCGTTTTGGCAATTCATTCACTGTTCAGCTGAGCTGTCACAGTCTACTCCCTAGTTAGTAAGCGCGAGAACGCTAGGTTGAGCGACTGTGAGCGCTGGAGACCCTGTACTGCACAGTTTGTTGAACTTCGGTTCCTGTGCAGTTGCCTTGCATGTCCATACCCGAAGCTGTTAACCGCCGCCACAGAGCGGCCGCGACAACAAGTCGTGAGCTACAGCTAGCTAGTAGGTCAGACCAGACCGCTGCGGAATCGAGTCGAGTGAAACCCATCGTACGAGCATTGTGTTTGCAAATGGGGGGGGGCTGCGCCCCCCCCCCAACCCCCCCGCTTTTTTTTGGCCGTGCAAGCGTGCTGCAAAACATTTGAATCTTGTTAAAACCCGTCGTGCGAGCCGTGTGTTTGCAAATGGCCCGCTGCCTCTTGTTGAAACATATCGTACGAGCATTGTGTTTGCAAATGGGGGGGGCTGCGCCCCCCCCAACCCCCCCGTTTTTTTTAGCCGTGAAGCGTGCTGCAAAACATTTGAATTCTGTTGAAACCCGTCGTGCGAGCCGTGTGTTTGCAAATGGGGGGGGCTGCGCCCCCCCCACCCCCCCCGCTGCCTCTTGTTGAAATCCATCGTACGAGCATTGTGTTTGCAAATGGGGGGGGGGCTGCCCCCCCCCCCAACCCCCCCGCTGTTTATTTTTAGCCAGCCCGCGCCTCCGGAGCAAAAAGAAAAAACGGGCCCGGCCTCCACAGCAAAAAAAACAACGCGCCCAGCCTCCACAGCAAAAAACAAAACGCGGCTGCGCCCCCCCCAGCCCCCCCGCTGTTTGTTTTCAGACGTGCAAGCGTGCTGCAAAACATATGGATCTTGTTGAAACCGGTCGTGCGAGCCGTGTGTTTGCAAATGGGGGGGACTGCGCCCCCCCCCCAACCCCGCCGCTGCCTTCTTTTTTTCTTTTCAAAGTCGTGCAGAAGCGTGCTTCAAAGTTGAATATGATTGTGTTTGCAAATGGGGGGGGGGGCTGTGCCCCCCCAACCCCCCCCACTGTTTTTTGGCCGCGCAAGCATGCATGACCCATATGAACCTTGTTGAAACCCATTGTACATGCACCCCCCCAACCCCTCTGCTTTTTTTGGTTTTAAAGCCGTACAAAGCGTGCTTCAAAGTATGTGAATCTTGTTGAAACCCATCGTACGAGCATTGTGTTTGCAAATGGGGGGGGCTGCGCCCCCCCCAACCCCCCCGCTTTTTTTTAGCCGTGCAAGCGTGCTGCAAAACATTTGAATCTTGTTGAAGCCCGTCGTGCGAGCCGTGTGTTTGCAAATGCGGGGGGCTGCGCCCCCCCCCAACCCCCGCTGCCTCTTGTTGAAACCCATCGTACGAGCATTGTGTTTGCAAATGGGGGGGGGGGGCTGCGCCCCCCCCAACCCCCCCGCTGTTTATGTTTAGCCGTGCAAAGCGTGCTGCAAAAAAAACCTAAACCCTAAACCTTGAACCCTAGAACCCAAAACTCTTAAACCCATGAACCCTAAACCCTACACCCTAAACCCCTAAACCCTGAGCCCTGAACCCTGAACCCTGAACCCTAAACCCTAAACCCTAAACCCTGAGCCCGAAACCAGCCCTAAACCTTGCAAAGCGTGCTGCAAGCGAAAAAACGCGCAAGGCCTCCACAGCAAAAAAAAAGAAACGCGCAAGGCCTCCACAGCAAAAAAAATGTGCAAGGCCTCCACAGCACGAAAAAAAAACGCAAGGCCTCCACAGCAAAAAGACGCGCAAGAGCCATTTCGCGAATGCGATAGTGCTTTATCGTTTAGGATTGGCAAATTGTTTTTCTACCTGGGGTAGAAAAAGAAATCTCTTTGAAACGTTGTCTTTATATTTTCACGTTCACGTACATGTCTGTAAGAGCAAGGTTTGGTACCTGCATCTTTTGGATTTGTACTTTTCTTGCCAACATGCGTAACAGCTTCTCAGTGCTTGTTGCATGAGTTGTGAACATGTGTGGCATGTTTGTCGCTCAAGCTTGGGGCTTGAAAAATTTTCAAGCCCCAAGCTTGAGCGACAAACATGCCACACATGTTCACAACTCATGCAACAAGCACTGAGAAGCTGTTACGCATGTTGGCAAGAAAAGTACAAATCCAAAAGATGCAGGTACCAAACCTTGCTCTTGCAGACATGTACGTGAACGTGAAAATATAAAGACAACGTTTCAAAGAGATTTCTTTTTCTACCCCAGGTAGAAAAACAATTTGCCAATCCTAAACGATAAAGCACTATCGCATTCGCGAAATGGCTCTTATCGTAAAAATTGGCAAACTCTTCGAAACGTAGAAATGCAAGTATCATTCCCATGAGAATCCCGGTTCTACTTGCACAACAAGAAGCACATGCGAACTCCCATCTTTTTCCAATGAGGTGCAATCTCCCAGCATCTGGAAAACACAATCTCGCTTCGGTCCAACCGAAGTGAGAAGGTTAGGACGAGCACCAAGCTCCCGATCGCCCCAGGCGACTACAACCCCGGGTGGGCGGGCGGGTGAAAAATTTTCAAGCCCCAAGCTTGAGCGACAAACATGCCACACATGTTCACAACTCATGCAACAAGCACTGAGAAGCTGTTACGCATGTTGGCAAGAAAAGTACAAATCCAAAAGATGCAGGTACCAAACCTTGCTCTTACAGACATGTACGTGAACGTGAAAAAAATAAAGACAACGTTTCAAAGAGATTTCTTTTTCTACCCCAGGTAGAAAAACAATTTGCCAATCCTAAACGATAAAGCACTATCGCATTCGCGAAATGGCTCTTATCGTAAAAATTGGCAAACTCTTCGAAACGTAGAAATGCAAGTATCATTCCCATGAGAATCCCGGTTCTACTTGCACAACAAGAAGCACATGCGAACTCCCATCTTTTTCCAATGAGGTGCAATCTCCCAGCATCTGGAAAACACAATCTCGCTTCGGTCCAACCGAAGTGAGAAGGTTAGGACGAGCACCAAGCTCCCGATCGCCCCAGGCGACTACAACCCTTTCACATGCTGGGCGATCGCATCCCTTCCCTCCAAGAGGGATGCCAGAGGTTCACACGTCCAGTCCAAGTGTTCACGCCTGAATGAATCATCATACTGCTCGAAGGCCAACCTAGAGGCAGCGTCACTGATGTTTGCACACGACGGCACTCTTGAGTACCAGTTGTAAGCCTTGAGCTCTTGGTCCAGCACAAGGGAGTGGCTCACAATTTCAAAGGTATCATCCACCGCAGAAGAGCCACTAGCGAATGCAGCCTTGGCAGATTCATTATCCAAGAACCATAACACTTTCCGATGTACCAGCAGGAGGCGCCACAAAGTTTTTGCAGCCAGGACCGGCAGCGCTTCTGCTTGGCCTACCAACTGCGTCTTTCCCCCTTGCCTCCATCGATCTAGTAGCGGTTCAGGGACAGGTTCACCGAAAAACTTCTTGACTTGCTGCAGGGGATCAATGAGTACTGCACCATGCGTAGTCAAGAGACTCTTGGATTCGCACGCGCCATCTGTGAAGACCAACACCGGGCACTCTGGTTGAAGGAAACACACTTCACGGGCTTCTGAGCGAGCTAGTAGGTCCGCAGCACCCCGGATGACATCAATCTCCTTCCGAGTCAGTTTTACGGGACCACCAATCGCCAGCTTGCGTGAGAGCACCCTGGTTGCCAGCACTGCCACTCTCCCAAACGTGTGTGAAGAGGCATACATCATCCTGCCTCGGAGCTTGGCCAGGAGCCCTGGATGAAGGGTGCCCTCCTGGCAGATCTTTTCCACCAACTCCAGAATGGCGGCAACTCGACCCTCCTTGTTCGCTACGCGAAGAAGGCCACGACACGCTTCATTCAAATCAAGCTGTACTCCAAGAATGGTAAAGAGCTTTGCAAAAGGAAGTGCTTTGTGTTCATCATTCGCCACAGACCACCCAAGCAACTGCATCACAGCCAAAGCAAGCTCATGCGACGTCTCCACCAAACAGTCCAGCTCCAGATGACAAAAGTCATCGTAAAAGTTGGACACCACTAATCGGAAGACTTTGACCAGGATCTGCCTTACACCTTTCGCCACTCTGTTGAAGGCTCCAACCGCGTGAATGGAGCCAAAAGGCAGTGTCGTGAATCTGTAGTACTCAAATCTTTCTAGCTTCGGGTTCCACACAGCCAGGATGGCTGCCCATCCATGAGCAGGGTCAATCGCAAGTTGCTTATAAGCACTCTTCAAATCCATCGCCCGGCCCGAAATCCCTTGCAGGGAGGTTGGCGCAAAACGGGCAACTGCATGACCAAACGCACGGGCAATATCAACGATGACGTCGATATCTTGAAGAGTGAGCTTATCATTGGTTCCACAAGAAGAGTTAACCATCGAGGCACTGAGGTCGTCAATACCTCGGACTTTCCTCCCCTGATCAATGCCAAACCTCCGGGATGGCACCCAACCATCAGGAAAGAATCGATCAAGTTCCTCCTCCGAGAAGGACCCTAGCAACCAACCAGAGCCATCCGAGGCTTGCAGACTTGCTTCATCTGCTACCGATTGCTCCACCTGCACATCACGGCCACCTCGTTGAGCGTTCAGCCTACCGCGCACCCAGGGCGCAAGCAGACGCAGCTCTTCTGGCGAAATGGATGCAGGAGTGTACAGAGGTGGGAATTGGCCCGAGGCTGGGACTTCCCCAACGAGGCTGAATCCGTTAAGCATCTCCTTCACTAAGTGCTTATCTTGTATCCCCGCCTCATGGAGCAAAGCCTGAAAGAGGAGTACTCTCTTCCCCCTTAGCACCGCTCGCACCTCTGGATGCAGAGAGGCATGAAGGGCCTTCTCTTCCTTAGCCAACCCGGAAGCCAAGTGGAGAAAGCGCTTAAGTTGGCCAGCTCTAAACGCACAAACCTCACTGGGTGAAGAAGATGCAATCCAGTCAACAGTTTCTTTGATGGCAGTGTCACTGCACGCAAAGGTGTCACAAGGATGTTGACACTGAAGCGCAGCGTCCACAAACCCTTGCACGTTCCAGGGCAAAGCATAATACACGACCCGGCTTGGTTCAACCATAGCTGAATGCTCTCCTGGGCATAACACATCTGGTTGCTGCAGTTCCTCCCTTTGCTGTTCGGGCGCTTCCCCCCCTCGCAACTGATGAACAGCGGCAGAAAGGGCTCGGCCCCCGGAAAGCAGGACCGAACCCGAGGCAACATGAGGAAAGCCAGGCAACCCGTCAGGGGGCACTTTCGCGGGCAACTCAACCGGCGAGGGCACACGAATCCGGTAGACAGCTCGAAATTCCGGCACTAAGGGCGGGAATTTGCTGGGGCGAAAGGAACCTTCAGTGGCTGCACTGGCGACGCGCAGAGGCAAGTCAGCGATCGCGGAATGCAAAAAGGGCAGGGCGACCTCAGCAAACGCATCACAGAACCCAGAGGGCAGGAATCGAGTCACTTGAGCAGGCGGTTCATCCCGCGACCAAGGCAAGTGAGTATGGGAGTTATCACAGCGGCGTGACAAAGACGCGAAGGCCGGCACATTGTGCAGAAAGGTCACAGACAACACGCGTTCCGCGCCCCACATACACAGGTCCACCTCAAAGCAGCCACAGCAGGCACGGAGGTGCAGCCACTCCGACGACGCCCAACGCCGACTCCGAGAAGGCATTCCAACACAGAAGGGCAGCCGGACCTGCAAGCATGCACGGATGGCCCGTAGCACAAAGGTTCCCAGGTCATCGGACTTGCCTCCCGGTGGGGGCACAATGGCAAACAGCAGAGCAGCTTGGCGGCGCGAGAGGCGATCCAAGAGCAGGTCAGCCTGCAGGGCGACCTTGGGGTCAAGGCGACAGACCGGGACACGCCCTCCACGAGGCCGATGATGAAAAGCAACCGCGTGCACGTGCCTAGCTCGCAAGGCAGCTGTGACCAGTGGCGGGTCGGCAAATAACTCAAGCGCCACAGGGCCCAAGGGATTAGACACATCTGCCACAGGAGCAGGCACTCCAGTCTCCCGAAGCAAGCGAGCAGGCAACTCGAAGCCAAGGCAGGATAACTGCCTGGCATCCTCCATGCCCAGCACCCCGGAAGGGGCAATGGAGAAAGCCACAATCATCACCCGATGTCCCGCCCACGGTAAGGTGAAATGCTCAAAGTCACGGGCAGGCAGAAAGCACGGCTGACAGAAGGGATCCAGCAGTCGGCCCTTGTACTCAACGCCATCAAACACCGCAGAATCCTGGCCCGTACCATCAAGGACGAAAACCTGACCACCCGAGAAGGTGCCAACAGGTACAAGCAAGTTGGGCTCCGGCCCGTTGTTGGCATCGCGATGTTTGGCAGTCTGAACATTGAAAAAGACCACCACGGAAGTCCAGACATGATCGGAGGCCGTCTGGCGCACCACCGCGTTAAGGACACGCGTCACAAACGGAAACAATCGGTTATTGCGACGCAACCCCCATCGAGACCCCTGGATCCAACAGCCCGTGCCGACAGCACTGCCTGTGGCAGACTGTCGGCTAGAAGCTTCATGCGGGAGCAACTCGCAAAGGCTAGAGATTGCATCATTGGAAAAATCGTCGATAGACAGCATTTGTTCGGCAAAAAGCTCGGCTGGATGCCGAGAGAACACGGAAGCAAAAGTGCACTGGTCACTGAGAGCAGCACGGCCAAAACCTTGGGAAGCGACAGAGCTGCTCCCCGTTGTGTCGACAACTGCCTCCACTCCATCAGGAGGGGGGGGCAGCCGAGCACCGGAGGCCCCAGGGCCTAGTCACGAGGAGGGCTTATTCGGACAATCCAGGAAGGCATGCTTGCCGAAACATCCGGGCACACAACACACATGCTCACCTCGATTGCAATCCAGGCAGTCGACACCCCCATTGCTGCAACGCTTCAAGTTGAAGGACCAACACAGAGGCTTACCTTTCGGATTCGTGGGGACCCCACCCCGGAGGGCAGCAGGCATATAAGGCTGTTTGGACCCCTTACTCGAACCCTTGGGCTTGCGCGCAGCCGCAGCCGCAGGCGCGGGGGTGGCGGCCGGCTGGCTCCGGTTGCGCTTCCGCTTGCGACCAGATCCTCCGCCGGGAGTGGACCCAGCACGCGGATGTCCTTCCCTGGGAAGCACGAGTTGCTCAACGGATCTCATGCGAAGTACGGGGGCCACGAAGCGATCCAGGGGCAGGGGACCATCAGCCCCTGGAGAGAAACCGTCACGACACTCTTCCGACAAGCGAAGGTGGATCTCACGATCACAAGCTGCGACTTGGGCCATGTTAATCCTTTGGTAGCCCTCCGGCGGAGTGCTTTGATAAGCATCAAAGAGATGGAGGATCAAGGACTCATGGGCCTCAAAAGACATCAGGCGCGCAATCGCATAACACACACCCCTTCGTCGCAGGGCGTTATGGACATCCAGCTCCGAGGCAACTGTCGCACGCAAATGATTGGGGGCCATGACCTCACGCACAACACCATTCTTATCAGGCTTCCAAGCTTTCAGCATCGGATCCTCAGTCGTGCTGTTGACCTCCTGGGTGCGAGTAGTAAGCTTGTGCCACTCAACATACCGCAGACGATTCTCATCAAGCATTTGGGCAAAGATGTTGATGGCAGCATGGGAAGGTTCCAACACACCCTGCAACTTCAGAGGGGACAACTTAGGGGCCAGGATTGTGAGTCGGGCACCGATCTCAGCAACAGGCAACTTGCGGGGGGCCACATCCTCAGCAGAGTCCAGCTTCTTTTTCAGGTCCGCAGCCGTGAGAGTCCAACTCTCCCAGTGCAGGCGACGCAAGGCCGCTTCATGGGCCCCGAACTGAGCTCCTAAGACGGAATCGAGCACAACCTGTAGCGCTGCTTCGGCCCCTTGTTGTCCGGGCATAACCTTAGGAGCATGAGCAAAATTGGCAAAGGTTGCCCAGCCCCGATCCGAAAGGACCTGGATGACGTCGGCAGGCAGTTCAATGGCCAAGCACCTCTGCCTAAAGGTAGCACTGGAGTCAACGTAAGACATGGCCCTAGTCTGACTACACGCGATCCTCGAACAGCAAAACTGGCAGGTCAAGCGTGGGCTGTTGCTGCATGCAGTAAAGTCACAATCGTCTGCCTGCAGTAAAGTCAAAATGCATTCCGCATGCGCAACTCATTTTTCTGCAGTAGCACACTACGCAGGACATTTGGCATTCCTGGCAAAGCTAGGGTTGCGCATTGCACAGCAAGACACCTTGGGCAAAACGTAGGATAACTACAACCCAAGCGGCAGCAACAACCCTAGCGGAAAGGAGGCGGCGGGCAAAACGGGAAGGCTCCTAGCAAACCCCTAATCGCCGCGAAAACAGGACGCGCATGGGTTCAGAAGCACTGCAGGTCGGTTGTCCAACTTGCTGTGCGCACTGGTGGCCAAACGCCCACACAGGAAAACAACTGCGTCATCATCACAGACTGCTTGGGCACAATGAATCGTTCCTCGAGCATCGTGCCGAAAGTAATGAAGACTGTCAAGAACAGCAGGTCCATTCAAGACGCACGTCTCACGACTGGCAGCAAGCTGCCCAGCGTCATCTTCCTTCCCGGACCCCGAGCTTTCATCATCCGAGCTAGAGGAGCTGCTGAGTTCGGATGAAGAACTCCGGAGGAGAGCCGACACTCGCTTGGACCTTTTTGCAGCCGGCTCGGCTTTGGTATCCAGCTGGGCAAGTGCAGAGTTGAAGTCGGTACAGCCTGTCCACCGCCTGAGACGCGGGAGATCTGGATCAAACAGACCTGCTCGAATAATTTGGAGAACTTGTTCGATGTTTCGAAGAATATCGGCAGCAGCATCATGACCATATTCAAGCTCAGACCGTCCCGCTTTGCCAACATGATATCCAGCACGCCTTTGAAGCTTCGGCGGTGCACCCACTTTGGTCAACCAGGACAGAACTGTGGCCTTTGCTGAGTGTGTGCCAAGATCCACCAGTTCATCAGCTGATGCAGTGCCACACAGCAGTTCACGTAACCAGACACACGCATCAGACGAAGAAAGCTTGAACGCATGGAACGTCCCATCCGGAGTCGGAGATGGCATCATGGGGTCATCTTCACTGGCAATCAAACCCATCGCCTGACGATTCTCCATCCACTTCAGGAGCCAATCATCTTCCAACAACCCGGGCCCCGTGGCCGACGCGGGGAGCAGCCGGAAGACCGTGGCACGCCTCCTGGATGAAGTTTTGGTTCCATAAAGTCCAAAGTCTATAACCGACTTTCCCTCATACGCATCAACAGTGGGCTCGTTATAGCACATCTGCAGATCGGAGAAGCGCAGTCTTGCATAAATCAAGGCACACATGTAGCCTGCAAATATGGCTGCCACTGAAGGCTCCCCACAAGCAATACTCTCCAAGCGCTTCACCTGGGCGACGGTGAAGGGTGGTCTCTTGCGCAGTGCTCGTTTCTTGACAGCCTCCACCGTAGCACCAGTAACTCTGCTCGAAATTTGGACAAGGCATGTCTCAGCTCCAAGCAAAGTGCAAGCAAATCTGGCTGATTGCACAAAACGCTCTGCTTTCGTAGGCGGGGCTGAGTTCTCCCTTAGGAAACAGACGTAATTGTACAATCTGACCTCTTCAAGTGGAAAGATGGTAATGCGGTCAACATAGCTGACTCGAACCCAGCGAAGATACTGCAGTAGCGAGCCTGCTCTGGATCGCAAAGTTGCCGTCGCCTTGCGAGCAAAGACATCCAACAGGATCTTCTTTGCGGTCTCATCGTCTGGAGCATTTATCACCAGAAGCCCAACAGGGGTCGAGGCAGCACCAGCCACTATGATTGTGGACCACAAGGCAATGGCTCTTGCACGATCACCACTCTCGCACACTGGTAACCTGCATGACCCGGAGGTACGAGGCACAAAGGATGGTACTGTTGGACATTCTGCACCAACAACATCGTTCACTTGCACTGAGGGCACTGATGGTGGTCCCTGCGGCACAGCTCCAACAAGTTGCTCCTCACGGAGCAGATCAGGCCAACAGGAATCCAGCTGCGTGATGAGACCGACTCTCGACACAGCTGCACGTAGTTCCAAATCAAAATCCATAGCCCATAGCACGAAGGAACCACTCAAGGACCACGTAAAGGAGACCCCAAAAGCTTACAAGAGGAATCCAAAATCCACCCCTAATGCAAATGAAGCTCAAGTCACCTACAACACCATGCAGTGGTGCTCGAGAGCTGTCACTCCAGGAGGATGCAAAGTGGTGCTCCAAGCTGTCACTGTGAAAATATGGCACCCAAGTATTTTGCCACGCTTTGTAGAACCGTGGCAGAATGCAACTTCCACCAGAAACAAAGCACTTTTGCCTGCAGGATGTGGCCCCGGAGAGTATTTTGCCACACTTTGCAGAACCGTGGCATCATGCTTGGTTCGGGCACAGCCGAATCACCTGCACAAACTCAGGCGCACCCCCCAAAAGCTTACAAGAGGAATCCAAAATCCACCCCCAATGCAAATGAAGCTTAAGCCACCTACCACACCATGCAGTGGTGCTCGAGAGCTGTCACTCCAGAAGGATGCAAAGTGGTGCTCCAAGCTGTCACTGTGAAAATTTGGCACCCAAGTATTTTGCCACGCTGTAGAACCATGGCATAATGCAACTTCCACCAGAGACAAAGCACTTTTGCCTGCAGGATATGGCCCCGGAGAGTATTTTGCCACACTTTGCAGAACCGTGGCATAATGCTTGGTTCGGGCACAGCCGAATCACTATATTGCACAAACTCAGCGCACCCCCCCACAAAGTCGAGCAAGAAGCGCGAGAGTCCTGCACTCTCACCAAGAGAGATAGATCTAGGTGCGAAAGGCGGCCCGAGGAGCAGGAGAGCAAGCGCCAAGACACCAAGATTCCAACAAAAAGAAAGCAAGGAAGAAGTCACCCAGTGACCTGGTGCCATTGTAAGACACAGAGTCTACGATGCAGCACCCAGAGACGCTCCCACTGCTTGAGCAGATAGCGAGCAGCACCTGAGAAAAACACTCCACTCGCAGTCGCCCAGCGACAGCCTAGGAGGGTTACACTCAGCAGCAGGTTTCTTTTTCCACCTCTGTTCCATGCGGATGAGGCCATCCGGCGTCTGACTGATCTCTTCTGAGCCCATGTGCAGCATTGTTGTTACGGCTTGCTGCAAGGACCCCCTGCAGCTTCCTCTCCTGGGGCTGAGCTGGTCGTGCACTGCTTGGGCTTGCAGGAGGGATCGTAAAGGGACCTGGGGTGGGATGTGCAGGCCTGCTGCTGAGTGTAACTCCTAGTCGCCCAGGTCACCGGGTGACTTCTTCCTCGCTTTCTTCTTGTCGGAATCTTGGTGATCTTGGCGCTTGCTCTCCTGCTCCTTGGGCCGCCTTTCGGCACCGAGGTCTATCTCTCTTGGTGAGAGAGATACATGTCGAAGCTCCGGGGTCCCGGGGCGCTTCATTTTGTGTTCTTCGTGCTGGGAAGTGTCTCACGTTGTAGCCCTAGTGCCCGAGGCCCGAGGTGGGATGCAAAGAGCCCGGGCCGTGCTGCACTCTTGATTGAGGTGGTAAAGAGCCGTGCTGCAGCCTTAGATTTTGGGTGAGGTGGGAAGCAAACAGCCGGGGAGGCGGTGCTGCAGCCTTAGAATTTTGGGCGCGGGAGGGAAAGGAGCCCGGAGAGGGGTTGCAGCCCTTGTTTTTTTGGGTGAGGTGGGAAGCAAAAAAGCCCGGGTATGCTGCAGCCCAGTGATGCCCAGTCAGGTCGATCAAAGACCGTGGGCAGGCTGTGATGCAGCCGGGTGAGGCGGGAAGCAAAGCCCCGTGTGCGAAGCCTGTGGGAAAGCGACAGTTGCAAAGTAGATTGCCAAAAAACAGACTCGGAAGCCGAAAATCGTAAAGTTGGACCTTTTTTAAAACACTTATTATTAGTTCTTTAAAAAGGGTCCAACTCTACGATTTTCGGTTTCCGGGTCTGGTTTTTGGCAATCTATTGTGAACTGGTGGAATCCCCGCAGTTTCGTCGTATGCGTCGAAGCTCGTGGTCTCGCGCGTTCACGCTCTAAGAGTGGCGGTTTTCGTGCAGCTTTTGCTTCGATGCATAACCGCTGTGTTATTTTGCCAAGAGTGGTGTTGTTCTTGTTGAAGTGTCAACCGACAGGTTATGCCCGTCGCCGCAAAATCATAAAGTTGACAATCTGCTGTTCAATGTTGGCAGTAGACTGGGGCTTCGGTTGCATGGGTGGAGGTGGGAGCAAGTCGCTACCTGTCAAATAACTTTCCAGCATTGAACAGCGAAATGTCAACCTTATGATCCGCCTGTCTCTAGAAAGCGTTGATCCTTTTCTGACGACACTTGTCGAGGCGATCAAAGAACAATGCTGCGTATGTCTCATCACTTGAAGTGCAGTTTCAGGACCTAAAAAATCACAAGAAACGTAGGACGCATCACGTGACCTCCACAGTGCGAGAAAAATCTTACGTGAACACTGCAAAACTGCTTTGTCTTGGATGCCAGCCAAAGATCAGTCTGGCAAGCCACACAATCGACGGCGTTTTTGTTTTCTTGATCCAAACAGTCGAGACAGAATATCTTGTTCTTGTGTGAGTTGACTGCAGCATTTTTGAACTTAAGCAGGTTCCAAAAAAGCAGCTGTATTCCGGGCACCGAAAATGGGCCCTGGGCTGTGGATTTCTTTTCTGAAGGCACAAGGTCACCCAGTTTGGAGCCCCAAATTGGGGCCCAGATTTAGGAGCCATTTCTGGGCCCGCTTGCGCCTTTTTTTTCGCGGGCAGAAGCCAGATCTGCTTTACACAGCCGGTCGTTGTGAGCAAAACAAATAAGCCTCTTGATCAGTTCCGATCTACGTCTTGCCAGTCTCCCTTAAAATTTCGAAGAATAGCAGAAGAACGTGCGGCAAAGTCTCATTTGGAACCGGAAGTTTCTCTGACTCCTAACTGTGGAGGTCATCTGACGTGTCCTATGTTTTCTGTAATTTTTCGGACCCTGAAATGGATCCGTGTGACTGGCCACGTGGTGTTGCGTTTTCGAGCATGTCTGGAACGTGCAGGCCTCTGCCAGCCAATTTTTTGGTTGCGTAGCAGTCCACCTGCGTGTGCGCAACATGCAGATTGTGCGCCAGTGTGGCGTCCGAGTGCAATTTGCAGTTGGTAAGGGTGGAATCAGGCTGATAAAGAACATTCTTTTAGTTGTTTTGCCGTAAAAGTTCTGCCGAGATACATGTCGAAGCTCCGGGGTCCCGGGGCGCTTCATTTTGTGTTCTTCGTGCTGGGAAGTGTCTCACGTTGTAGCCCTAGTGCCCGAGGCCCGAGGTGGGATGCAAAGAGCCCGGGCCGTGCTGCACTCTTGATTGAGGTGGGAAGTAAAGAGCCGTGCTGCAGCCTTAGATTTTGGGTGAGGTGGGAAGCAAACAGCCGGGGAGGCGGTGCTGCAGCCTTAGAATTTTGGGCGCGGGAGGGAAAGGAGCCCGGAGAGGGGTTGCAGCCCTTGTTTTTTTGGGTGAGGTGGGAAGCAAAAAAGCCCGGGTATGCTGCAGCCCAGTGATGCCCAGTCAGGTCGATCAAAGACCGTGGGCAGGCTGTGATGCAGCCGGGTGAGGCGGGAAGCAAAGCCCCGTGTGCGAAGCCTGTGGGAAAGCGACAGTTGCAAAGTAGATTGCCAAAAAACAGACTCGGAAGCCGAAAATCGTAAAGTTGGACCTTTTTTAAAACACTTATTATTAGTTCTTTAAAAAGGGTCCAACTCTACGATTTTCGGTTTCCGGGTCTGGTTTTTGGCAATCTATTGTGAACTGGTGGAATCCCCGCAGTTTCGTCGTATGCGTCGAAGCTCGTGGTCTCGCGCGTTCACGCTCTAAGAGTGGCGGTTTTCGTGCAGCTTTTGCTTCGATGCATAACCGCTGTGTTATTTTGCCAAGAGTGGTGTTGTTCTTGTTGAAGTGTCAACCGACAGGTTATGCCGTCGCCGCAAAATCATAAAGTTGACAATCTGCTGTTCAATGTTGGCAGTAGACTGGGGCTTCGGTTGCATGGGTGGAGGTGGGAGCAAGTCGCTACCTGTCAAATAACTTTCCAGCATTGAACAGCGAAATGTCAACCTTATGATCCGCCTGTCTCTAGAAAGCGTTGATCCTTTTCTGACGACACTTGTCGAGGCGATCAAAGAACAATGCTGCGTATGTCTCATCACTTGAAGTGCAGTTTCAGGACCTAAAAAATCACAAGAAACGTAGGACGCATCACGTGACCTCCACAGTGCGAGAAAAATCTTACGTGAACACTGCAAAACTGCTTTGTCTTGGATGCCAGCCAAAGATCAGTCTGGCAAGCCACACAATCGACGGCGTTTTTGTTTTCTTGATCCAAACAGTCGAGACAGAATATCTTGTTCTTGTGTGAGTTGACTGCAGCATTTTTTGAACTTAAGCAGGTTCCAAAAAAGCAGCTGTATTCCGGGCACCGAAAATGGGCCCTGGGCTGTGGATTTCTTTTCTGAAGGCACAAGGTCACCCAGTTTGGAGCCCCAAATTGGGGCCCAGATTTAGGAGCCATTTCTGGGCCCGCTTGCGCCTTTTTTTTCGCGGGCAGAAGCCAGATCTGCTTTACACAGCCGGTCGTTGTGAGCAAAACAAATAAGCCTCTTGATCAGTTCCGATCTACGTCTTGCCAGTCTCCCTTAAAATTTCGAAGAATAGCAGAAGAACGTGCGGCAAAGTCTCATTTGGAACCGGAAGTTTCTCTGACTCCTAACTGTGGAGGTCATCTGACGTGTCCTATGTTTTCTGTAATTTTTCGGACCCTGAAATGGATCCGTGTGACTGGCCACGTGGTGTTGCGTTTTCGAGCATGTCTGGAACGTGCAGGCCTCTGCCAGCCAATTTTTTGGTTGCGTAGCAGTCCACCTGCGTGTGCGCAACATGCAGATTGTGCGCCAGTGTGGCGTCCGAGTGCAATTTGCAGTTGGTAAGGGTGGAATCAGGCTGATAAAGAACATTCTTTTAGTTGTTTTGCCGTAAAAGTTCTGCCGAGATACATGTCGAAGCTCCGGGGTCCCGGGGCGCTTCATTTTGTGT